ACAACGCCAACGCCCAACGTTAAAGACGATTAGCAGAATGGGCAGGAATGCCTTTCTTTGATCCAAAGATTGATAACAACAGCTTATGGTCTGTGAGCAAGGTGAAACGGCGCCCGTAAATGAATTTGTGGAATCGACGGACAGCAAATATTAGGGCTAACGCTTCCTTCTCGATCTGGCCATAGCGTTTCTCAGCAGGTGTTAGTGTTCTTGAAGCGTGCATCACCGCTTTCTCTGAACCATCTGGAAAGACATGCGAGAGTACGGCACCCAGTCATGTGTTGAAGCGTCAGCAGCAACCACAATGGGTAGTTTTGGATTGTAGTGCGTTAGCAGTAGTTTGGAACTTAGCATAAATTTAAGTTTGGAAAAGGCTAACTGACATTGCGTGGCCCAAATCCAAGTAGCGTTCTTTTCTAGCAGACGATTCAATGGATATCGTACGTCATGCAGTGATGGAAGAAATGCTGAATAGTAGCTAATCATTCCCAAAAATGATCGCAGTGAGGAGACATCAGTGGGAGCAGGCATTTGTTGGATTGCGTGAGTATTTTGAGGATCAGGATGTCGTCCGGAAGCATCAAAGATAAATCCCAGGTATCTAACGGAACGTAAGAAGAATTGGCATTTCTCTGGACGAAGGCGAAAACCATTATCCTGAAGGCATTGTAGAACTATATGCAATTCATCAGCCGTTGAGCCGACAATGAGGACATCGTCAAGGTATGTAGCAACACCAGGAACATCTGCCAGAATAGTATCCATGATCTGCTGGAAGATCGCTGGAGCAGTTTTGATATCAAAGGGTAACCGGGTATGCTGAAAAAGTCCTCGGTGCGTGTTATTTGTCAACAACTCTCTTGATTCGGGAGCGACAGGAATTTGAAGGTAAGCGTCCGCCAGATCCAGTTTAGCGAAGTAGGTACCACCATTTAAAATAGTAAATAAGTCATCTGGGATCGGTAGCGGATAGTGATGCTGTTGTAGGGCCGCGTTGAGTCCTGTGGAAAAGTCTGCACAGATGCGTATGGAACCATTGGATTTTTTTACAACCACAATTGATGCAGCCCATGATGAATAAGTAACAGGTACTAGAACACCTTCAGATTCCAAACTTTGAAGTTCAGCGTCAATCAGAGGTAGAGATGCGTATGGAACTGGGCGTTTTGTGCGAAAAACTGGTGTAGCTTCTGGCTGCAGTCTTAAAACAGCTCATGTTGTGGAACAACGTGCGAGACCAGGCTGAAAGACTTCAATAAATCGTTTTTGAAAGTCTGCAGTATGCTGTTGTGTAGAGGCAGTAGCTTATACTTGATTGCAGATAGCGCTAATGGGAAGATCAGCGAGACCAAGTTCTTCGAACCCATCTAAGCCCAGAAGGTTGAGCGGAGAATTGGTGATGTAGCACGTCCCATTGAAGGTTGTACCTCTGAATGAAATGCAACAATAGAGTTCACCATGAAGGCGGATATGACCCCCACAGGCACTGACGGCTGTCTGAGAAGATGGTTTGATGGGAGGTTGGCCCAAGATTCGCCAAGTCTTTTTCGAAAGAATAGAGATATCTGATGCAGTGTCCAACTGCAACCGGACTGGTTGACCATTGATTAAGAGGGTCAGAAATTTGCGTCAAGTCGAGGCGTGGGTGTGGAAGACTGGTGCTAAACTTCTTGATGAAATAATCGGCTTTTCGGCAAAACGACGCTCTGTTTGTGGGTTTCGACGGTTATTGAATCGGTTGGATTTGCAAAAGCCGCTTTTGTGACCCACTTTATGACAGCGATCGCACATATGCTGTTTGAACGGGCAATACTTCACATAGTGCCAGTCTCCACCGTGCCCACATGGCGAGGGGGGCTTCTTCTGAGCTCGTTTAGAGTGATTGGAGACGGAAACAGCACTGGCATTTGAAGGACTCGAGGTCTTCAATCTCCAAGACTCTTTCTGGTGCTGGACAGCATGAACTTAGGAACCACCCTGGCCCCAAGATTGAACCAAAGTGGTGTCACGCTGCGTTGATATTCGTTTGCAATATCGTTAAGAGTTAGTTTTGGGTCTTGGTCCAATCGACTTAGCAAACGTGTTCTAATGTCACTAAACTTCTGCGATTGAAGGCTGCAGATGAGAAGGGGTGCTTTAAAATTGGTCCTCAGTAAGCGACTTCAACCGGAAGCGTTCACATTTTCGGTTGACGATACCCACGTGTGTGAGAAAATCAGCATCTTCGTTCATAGTGAGCTTCAAACATCAATAGCGCGCATTGAATAGTGAGGAGTTGTCTCCGAATTGTTGGCTCAACGACTGAACGGTGTCCGAGAATGAGCGATCGAGTGGGTTTAGAGGCAGAATTAGGTTGCAATACCTGTCTAGTTCACTAGGACCCAACTTTCGAAGCTGCAAGCGGACCTTCCGAGCATCATCCTGGTTAGCGAATTCAAATTTGAATAAATCTTCGTGACGTCGAAACCACATATCAAATGTGACATTGGATTCCGGATCATAATGAAACTCGGAGATACTGTTAGCGATACCATCCACTGATGGTGCGGTAGTAGTAGGATTAGAACTGCTTGGTTGAGTATTAGAGGTAAGCTTTGTATCTGCTAACATCTGAATGAGTTTCGTCTGCTGTTCGAGTAATAATTCAAGTTGGGAAGGACCCATGTTTCCGAACCACCGTCGCCAAATTGTTAGGTTTGAAAACTGTCACGGGTTTACGTAGTCCGCGTACGAGAACGAGATTCGGTGATCAAGGTTCAGTAAGTTAGCTATTACTGCGCCCCAGCCCCGCTATCTAGAGAGAGAAGTCCAAGCTCGGAATGAGAAGTGTATTCTGCAGCGACCAGAGAAAAGTGTCTAATAGAAAATATACTCGTTTATATATTGATTGTACACCCGTTTTGATTAATAATTGGAATAAAATCACATACATGAAAAATACTCACAGTGATAAGAAATCATATGCTGAGTATAGTTCATAGTCAATGAAATACAAGAATATTGTGTATTATACAGAATAAAATATCATGCGAGAAAAGAAAACAATTACTACATTGAGTAATCATTACATTGAATCAAGAAGGATGTGATGATGAATAAAACTCATATTGAGTGAATCAATCGAATATTGATTTTTCTTCCCATCCTATCAGATTCAATGTAATGATTACTCAATGTAGTAATTGTTTTCTTTTCTCGCATGATATTTTATTCTGTATAATACACAATATTCTTGTATTTCATTGACTATGAACTATACTCAGCATATGATTTCTTATCACTGTGAGTATTTTTCATGTATGTGATTTTATTCCAATTATTAATCAAAACGGGTGTACAATCAATATATAAATGAGTGTATTTTCGACTAAGGTCGTCGTCATCATAGTGTTTGGGGATAATAAAATTTCGCTTATACCAGTCTTGTGTTCTTACTTTCGCGTCGTGGGAATTGTGGAGGTCCCCTTCGTTCCTAGCTTAAGTGGTCAGCCATTCCACCATAACAATCAGCGACGACCAGATACAAAAGTAGCATTCTGTTCACAAGTCATAACAGCAACAAATCCAAGGTTCGAAGGCGAAGTCGTACTGCTGACTGTACAGATGTGTGACAGCAATAAGGTGTTTCCTTCAGACAGCCAGCATGACAGTGATGCTGCCTTCCAACAAGAAGGGGTAGGGTTAGAAAGGGTCGACCCAAAAAATGCACACCTCGCCTTATCCTACGGATATTCGTCTCCGGCGGTAAGGTCTCAACGAGTACGGAACTAACACAAAAACTACTCAAAAAAGGTCGTGTGTAACCGACCTCAAGTAGTTGTCCCTTGGGCACTGCGGCCACGCTTTCAGCCACCAAGACCACCTCTAACCCAATTTCCTTTTCAGGTACCTCCGGAAGAACCCTTTCGCGGTGTGGGCGACTGGGAAGTGATAATCGCCCTCATACCTCTAACAGCACTCAAGACCACTGTACTCATAATCTATCAAACAAGAGACCTAATAGGAAATTCATTTCTACATTTAATACCATTTATTAGTAAATTCCATTATCGAGAAAGATGTAAATAATCACTGTACTTAATGTTTATAATGATGTACTTATTTCTTTTTTCTTTTATAATACGAATTCATAAACTTAGTTCATAATTCCTACTAAAGAAATCTTAAAAACGAATAAGTTGACATTCAGAGGATTCATTGATTTATCTGGTAAAATAATTTGTCATGCAAAGAAATCACTAAAAAAATTCACTTTGTTCATCAATACTTTATTTATATTTACTTTGCTTTCAACAGAACTTTCTTTAACGATTACGTTCGCACGCGAGACCAATAGGTCCTGGGTTCGAATCTCGTGAGGTGAAATCGTAAGTGCTCACTTCTAGGGAGTCCCATACTACAACGAAACGGTCGTCCAGTGCTTTCACAATTCCCATAGTGGTCTAGCTTCAAATAACTCATAAATTCAACTATTAAATTATTAAAATTGTTACCTAAACAATAAGTCATATTGAACATTCTTTGTTCATGCTATTGTTGGGTCTTTTGAATCTAGAACCTAAATTACATTTTCATGTAACATTTAAAATGCCCTTGTTTAAAACATATATGTATAAATAACTTGAAAATTTTTATATAATTCAACTATCTTAACAAGTAATCCATCCACTTCAAAGATCAAATAGCCAGACTTCAACCTTAGAAGAACAATGATTGGCTTTTTTATTAGTTGAAAGTTAGTTAATGAACTACAGCGAACTGAAAACTTATTAAATATTTAGAGCTGAATAAGTTCCAAGTTAAGTAACAAATAAAAAGATAAAGACTGAATAATGGCTGGCAGTGTGTTTCGTTATATCTGGGATCCATCAGTCGGATAGATTAGAAGTGTAAACATTTACTAGTATTAGTGAATAAAGGATTGAAAAGATCGATATCCTAAAGAATAAATAATCATCATTATGATTAAGAGGAAAAGATTGAAAAATAAAATATCAAACCTGAATTTTTTTGTTGCGGTTCAAAAATTGAAATTGTATCATCTGACAAGTAGCAACTAATCACAAACTGACGATCACGATCTATCGGTCGTCCAGACAATAAACGCCCAGCAAAACGTAAAACATGAGAATCTAAACCTTGACGGTCTAATTCCATGAATTTTTTAAAATTATGATTTGGTGCTTTTGGTATTAAACTATAACAATTAGCCAGTGAATCTTCATCAGTACCCCAACCGTTATATGGTGGAATTTCACGTTTCACAGTGGTGATATGATCTTGAAGCTTAGGTTTAACTGGGGTGAAATCTTCTGCAAAGAATTAATAAAAATCAATCGTGATAAATCATAAATATCAATTTTCAAAGAGAACTTGTATGTTTTTTGTATTGTTCGCATGGATCTTCCCAATGATGTTTAGAACTGCAATTCATCAGTTATCTCAACTCATAGAACTTAAATCAGTAGGTAAGTCAGTCAGTCAAAAACAACATTGGACCTGTTAGCACTGTGAAATAGACCAGGTCCCTACAACTTTCGATTTAGAAGATAATAAGGAACAAATAAATCTGTGCCACTGAAACTGATGTTGAGTAATGTTACCTAAGGACTTTTGATGTATTCCAGTATTATCTGATAGTAGTATTTTACGAGTAGAAGTATAATCCATAAGCTATCACTTATATCTGCGTGAACTTCCTCATGTTTTTATTTTGCACATCTAATTTAAGCTAATGACCCTAAAGCTAAATTATGTGTAAACACGTAATAGTTGTAATTGTGAGTGTAACTTCTATTTTTGATTCGTTAAGTAAATTGAAATGATCTATCCTAATATAGCATGGGAATTAGTTGGAAACATAAATCATGACCATAACAAATTTGTCTTGTACTGGCATCAATATAATTAGTAATCGTAATGCAAATAGAAAATTACTGACTTACGTATGCCATACTTGATACGGTAATACTCTTTGGTAAATTCATCACAGTCGCATATTAAAAACTTTCTACCGTAAACATTAATATTTGCACCGATTGTTAAATCACGATCTTTGTAAAAGTCATCTTTAGGTGCACCAAGCTAGTTTTAGTGAAATGAAGAAATAATTGGATCATTTATTTTAATTATGGCATACCATTGAAATAAAAATTATAAACAATAAAGAAAGACAATGGTTAACATTTTGTGAAAGGGTATATTCTCTAAGTTCATTTTTCATCTCTTTTAAAATTAGCTTAAACAGTTAAGCGAAAGTCCTCAAAAATAAATATTATTGGTTGGATTGTATCGAGAGTCAATATCGTCCCCAAATGCCCTGGTACGGCCGAGAGTGAGGAGAGTCCGCTCACCCTCTCGAAATGCTCTCACATGGCCACGCGTATATAGCCTCTGCCAGGAAAGTCCTACTCACTGCATTCTCGTGGCACGAAAATTGAATGTCCGGCAATTTAACCGGGTTGGTGGACATGGAGATTTCATCTAGGGGACATGGGCTCCAGTATCCTAAGGAAACAAATGACACATAATGGTGGCCGGAGTTAGTCAACAGGAAACCCTGGACTCAGGTTCCGTGCCTGTAATCTTGAGGGAACTGGTGCTCCCTGACGGCTTCGATCCCGTGTCACCCAGCTTCAAAGTCAGAGACGTTACCACCGGGCTATCAGGGTAGCGACAGACTTCCTGTAGGACTGAGATGTATTCACAAATGATTGATCAGATCGTATACAATCGATCTGCACTAAGAAGGACCTGACACACATAACATTAATCATTACCCAGGGATCAATCTCTTGTAACATTCTATCTCATAAGTCAGTAAAATCTAAAAAATACAGCATAACCTGTAACTGAGTAGAGTTATATTATGTAGCAAAAATACAATACTTATATGGATATTTTATAGGTTCTTGAATTAAAATATTTGAACTGATTAGTATAAAAACAGAAGAAAATCCAAAATGGGTCTATTCAGATTATATAGAAACCTGAGTAAACATTTTTTCTTCTTTTTTTATATACCCTTGTGGGCCATGGTAATTATACATTGGTTTTCAGGAGAACCAGACACCATCCAAACTTTCACGTGACAACCCAAACAGTACAGCTCAATCTCGTTTAAAAGGAGTGCCAGACACCACCCAAGCTTAAAATGTGTAGCCCAAATAGTACGGCTCAATCCCGTTTCCAGGAGAACCCGAGCAGTACAACTCAATCCCGCTTCACAATAGAACCAGACACCACATAGGCTTTAACGCTACAATCTGAATAGTACAGTTCAATCCTGTGGCACAACCACGCAGGTACTAAGCACCCTGGTGGACCAGAGTAAAAATATAAACTAAGTAAATTTCTATCATATTGGTGAATATCCTAAAATGTTAATGTTTTATAAGATCATTTCCTACTATAGCTATAGAAATAGTAATAGTTAACAATTTATTATAATCTCATTCCATCAAGGAATACAAGAATAGGTTGTAATAATACCATTTATTGACTTTCATTTTACTAATGTAAACCTTATTAATTTCAAACTACTTGAATAACTTGACACATTTGCATTTAACTGTAGTAATATTATAATAATTAGATAATTAGTAATGTTGTAAATATTTATTAAAGTTTAATACTTTTGATTACAAACTAAACTTGGGCTCAACCCTTTATGGATGAGGAGACTCAAACTAAATCTTATCTTTTTCTTCAAACTACTTAATAAACTATCCTTTACATCCAATCACGTGATCCAATATGCAGAAACTTCTCATTATGACATCCGTAATTCCTTGTCACTAGTGTAACAAATTTAATATAAATTATCTCTCTATACGAATCTATCCGTACGATAAAATCACTCCCATTATTTGTTCGCTGCATTGATGCATAGTGCTCCTCTGAAAATACATGCAATGTTCTAGCACCTGTAAGTGTATCTCATTCCACAAGTGATATTATAGGAACTTTAAATGTTTAGACATTTTTATTGGTACATTCCCTAAGTCAAACCACCTATTTGCTGTCACTTTATGTTAACACCATCCCTAGAAACTTTAACTAATTTGAATAATATCTAACATAAACAGTATATCACTGTGTCACATGACACATGCATTATGGTAGACCTGATTGACATATTTTAGCAGTTATTACTTTGTTGTTCCATGCTCTATGTTTTTGTTTTAATTTCTCTAGTTGTAGATAATTGTCATTAATTCGATGGGGTACAGGAAATGACCTTAATTACACCGTTCATATATCAACAGGCTATCCATTTAAGAAAATTGAAAAGTTCCCGGTTGACGCATTGGATCGCTGTAATAAATGTACTACCTAAACAATTACTAAACTAGTATACTTAAAACTTTCTTCTATCATATGTTTGTTCGCTTTATCTAATGTTACTACTTATATCAAATCGCTCATGCCTGTAAACTGGAGTGAATTCTGTAATTATTATTTTCAGAATATATTATTATTAAAGTTTATGAAAAACGCCAATCATATTTGCAAGGAATGGTTGAGTGTAACCTTGGTTGGATAGTGGCTAGCATTGGAATCCAGGACGCGCGTTCCGTCCTGTTTGGGACTCGTCAGCCGGATATACCTGCATCTCAGAGTTGATGTTCCATCTTTGCTTATAATGCTTGTAACTTAAGACAATATCGAGGTAATACGCACAGTATGCACATATACCAACATGAGACTGATCAATTTCAGTCCTAAACGTCAATGGGAAAATTCAAGTAAAACAATATCAAGTGAATTAAGCTTCACCCCATTGCACAAGCAAGTGGCTATCAGGACTCAGTAGCTAAGTGGATAACGCGACAGCGTTTGAAGCGAACGGTACTGGGTTCGAGTCCCAGAGTGAACATCAACTCTGAGATGCAAGTACATCCAGCTGACGAGTCCCAAACAGGACGGAATGCGCATCCTGGATTCCACTGCTAGCCACTATCCATCTTCGCTTATAAAAACAAAGATAGTTGTACATTTTCAGTAAGAAGAACATATGACCTTGATTTGTTAGTCTAAGACATAGATAATGTTTAACAACTGAATGATAACCAAAACATAAGTTTCACTTGTGACATCAGGTTTTTAATTCATTTGTTTAAACCTATTCAGATCTATTTATTGCAAAGAATAGTCTACAGACTTTTAGTAATATTATTTGTAAACTGATTAAGTGTTGGAAATTTACAGGACATTTATCATATAATCCGGTTACAAGAGTAAAAATCAAGGTTTCAAATTTTGTAATATACGAGATTTTGTTACATAAATCATTATAACTAATAAAGAAGTATTCAAGCTGATTTATCAAATAAAACTATTTCAATGGTTGGAATCATGAGTCAGCTGAAGCTAGAACGCCATGGAAAACCTGAATTCACTGGACGGCCGTTTCATCCTAATGTGGGACTCCTCAGCAATGCGCACCCACGATCTCGCCCTCCGCGAGATTCGAACCCAGGACTATTTTAGATAATAAATTTGATTAAGTACTCGGTAATGACTAATATGACAATTTCAATTATACAATATAGAATTTCTATGAATGTATTTACATTTATAAACAATAATTTAAATAAGAATAGAAATTTTCGTTTTTTTTTCTTTCTTTTAATATTACCTTTAGACTATCCAGTATATAATGTCCACCTCTTTGTGGATGACCGAATACATTTAATAATGTTCTGTCAGTTATTACACCCGGCAACGGTATTGATGCAATTGTACGTGGTAGTTTTTGACGACGTAAAAAACATGGTACAGCATCACGGCCTGAATTAGCTGGTATAATTTCACGTATTTCAATTGTATCATCGGCTGTAAAAGATAAACTACATTTTAGTGTTAAATGACAAAATAAAGAGCTTTATGTTTAAGTAAACTGAAGTTAAAACATTCTTTTTACAAGATTAAAATCATTCAATTGAAAATTAAATTGTTTTTGTTAACTGGTTTGTTGAGATCACTTTTATTTAAATACTCCTCTCAGTACAAAAAGTGTAAAAAGATGTGAATGTTAAACTTTGAGACTTTTCGTCTGTTTCCTGCAATCATTCAACAAGCTGGAAGGATTATTATTCATACTATTAAATATACAACCACCTTTAATGAAACTTTAAATTGATAATATCTACTTCATAGATAGCTAGCGATGTAGAACACTGTTTTTTGATTGAGAGACTTCTTGATTATTATACAAACAATAAATTTGATCAGTTGGAGCTGTAAATGATAAGTTACCGATTGGTCTTAAAATATCTATTAAATAGATCTAGGTAATTGAGACCCCTGGTCAATTGAATAGATAAGGAAGTAAAACTATGATTTATAGATAGAATTCTGAACCTGTACATTAGAGAATCATTGATTAATTATGGATAAAAATCAAGGTTCTAAAAACTGATAGGATGATCTTTCATTTATCTTCATCAGATCAATGTATCAAACAAACAGACATGTACTTAAAAAGAAATATTCATCTTAATTAATTGTTAGCTTACCTAGAAAATAATTTAATATCATTTCTCTAGGATCACCATAAAGTGATTCTGTATCATCCCAAAAACAGAAAAATCGCAACACATGACGATCATGATCAAGAAATTGACGAAGTTTATCCATTCTTTCATATGGTCTAAGTGGTTGCATACTCTCAGTAAACTAATATAAAATGAAGATATTAAATGCTTGGTAGATTAAATTTTTACTTTTTACAGGGTAAAAAATAGTGAAATGAATATTGTAAAATCTGTAACTGGTTTCAAAGCATTATTAATTATAATGTTTCGTATAATTACTGAATAACTAGATTACTATTGTTGAGTGAACTACTTATATCTACATAAGTAGTACATGATGATAGTCAGGATCGAGGTTCAAATCTCACAGGGGGCGGGATAGTCGATGCGCATTCTTGAGGATTCCCACACTAGGAAAAAACGGTCGTCTAGTGCTAACAGATTTTCCACAGTTGTTCATCTTCGATTGACCCATGGTCGCAACTACTGAGATTTTATTATTGTTCATCAATAAATCAAATCTACTTTTAACTAGAAAAATTTGAATGTCTAATATTTTACAATATTTTAATATTAAGAAGAATAGATGACAGCAATCAGACAAGCAGTTTTACATGAAATATCACATTTTGAAAAATATATTAACTTAAATTGTTTTCTTTTCGTTCAGTACAAAAATGTTTTGATCTACAGAGTTCAGTAGCTTAGGGCAGACACACAGAATACTGTTGAAGAGTTAATAACATTAGTACACATGACTCTGTACGAAGAATTTATCAAGGTTAATTTAATCAAAGTAGCAACTGAAAATCATTCAACATGCATAAGCAACAACAAAAACAAACAACCATTTTGTTTTACACTTCAATTCAAAGAGATTGAAATTATTAAAGTATTAACAAGAAAACTAAGAAACATTATAGATGGGAAACTTATTTTACTCAAATTGTATATCATTTATACACTTTGTTGTTTACTTTCTATACAATTAAAAGATAAGCCACCTCCATATGTACTTATAAATTTAGTTGTTCCTATAATAATAAACATAACTAAATAAGTGGTGTGGTGTGAGTAACTTATATCCACATAAGTAATATATAACGATAGTCAGGCATAGAATGTATTTCAGTAGAAGATCGACAAGGATAGAACGGGAATGGAACGGAATGTAGTTGGTATGAAAATGCGTCAACAATGAAATGTGAGACGATGGGCTGTTATTTGTAAAAGAAACAGTCAATTTTGAGATGATGGATTGATATTTTGCAAATTAAGTATTTACTATATGGTTCACAGATTTCAATGTGATGCTCCGTAATGTCGTATCAGATTCATTGTATTGTCCCCACTCGTGTTCTTCTTCACTACGCTATGTGTATGCATTCCATTTATAATAAGAATTAGATTAACCTATAAACTACTTCCTTACGATTTATTATTGCTAGTTTGTCGACGGTTGCTTATTTATTGTCTTCCCTATTCAAAGCCACTTTCGGCTTATTTATTTATAGTTGTGACTTATCATTTTATGATGTGATCCGATCTAATATGTTTGTTTATAAACTACGACTGTTTGAGAAATAAATATCATAGAGGCTGGTTGCTATTTCTGAACTCAGGGCATGGCATAGATTGAAGCATTTGAATAACGGACCGATAAACAATTGACTATCGGCTTAAGGTTAGTAGTGCCGGTTGGGCGTGTAATTGGTTGATTTGGGGATGTTAGTCTGCGGTGGAAATAGTAGACACAAAGCAGACAAAATTAAAATTCGAATGCTGATTAGTGAGCGAGCATAAAACATTATTTTATTCACTGGAAAATATTGATGGCAGTAGTCTGACATATAATTTCATTAACATTTATATTTTTAGGTTTTTCATTATGGATAGTACTTTTCCTATTCTTCAGGATAACAGTTTTGTAAGGAACATGCTATTGTTTATAAAAACCTAAACAGAATTAAATTACACGTACTTAAAAGTGTTTTAATATAATTTAAAAAAATATATAACTTACAGTTTTTACAAGGTAAATTAATTGAAACGAAATAAACACCTAACCTACTTACAGCTTTACGATGAATACTATAAGGATCATCTGGTATTGATTCTGGTTTACCTAATTTTATACCAAGTTTACGTAAAAAATTTGATGTAAATTGATCACAAGAAACAATTCGAAATGTTTTTCCATAAGCTACAAACTCTGTTCCAACATTGAAATCATACACAGTATAATAGAGATGTTCATTTGGTACAGGTTTGGAAATACGATGCCGTTTAATAATTGTTCCTTGATAAAAAAGTAACATCAGAATAATTATTCTTCGATCATTTTAATGAATGATAATCTTAAAAAAATTTTATTGCAGTAACAATGAATAGAGTGTTAATCTATCTACTGATCAGCTTTTTTTAGGATAATAAGCAACATATTTTTAATTTTCTGGTTTATGAAACAGTTTTTGGAACTTATGTAAATATGACTGTAGTGTGTGCTACTTATGTAGACATAAGTAGCATATTATGTTAGTCGTGAACAGAATGTCTGGCAGCAGAGAGACAAGAAGATCGAACAGTGAAGAATGAAAACAAAACGCAATTGGTATGAAAATGCATGAACAAAGGAAGTCTGAGTCTTTTGAGACAATTGATGTACATTTTGCAAATTGACCATTTAATATATGGTTGTTAGATTTTACTAACTTGTTTTGTAATTTGTTGTCATAAACATTCGATTGTCCCCACCCGTATTCTCGTTCACTATATGACTACTCGATAGCTGGAAACCTTATGTTTTTTGGTATAATGAATCAGTTATTTTGGTTTACGGACCCTATTGATACATACACAACTCTGGGATCGCAAAAGGGCATTTAGAATAGACCGGTAATATATAAAGGGAAAAGAGTTGTCAAGTATTTTTTATATGGCATTTCATTGACTTTTTCATGTCTAACATTCTGAAAAATTTATCAACACCCCAATTTATGTTCAATATTTCACTAACCCACCCACTATCACTTTAGAAAGTCGGCTTTGGTAAGTTATGTGAACCGGAAGGTTTAAAACTAGTTGAACTTTGATAACAGACCATTGTTGAGACTTCAGTTTTGATTTGAGTCATTGATCGTTCGAATAAAACGCCAGTGAGGTTAATGACCCAAGAAATGAATAATGTATTAGTCTGGAAGATGAATTTATTTGAGACTGTAAAACGGATTTTCACTGAGTAACTTCAAAGTTTAATACAGAAGATACAAGATAATTTTCACTTCTGGAGTTTTCCAAATTTAAATGAAACGTTTATTCAAGATTTACTATCTGCGATGGTCCTTTAGCTGCTACCAGAGTAACCAATCATATGCATCATTTATTGGGATAAATTTCAGCGATAATACAAGTTTTGCCAAAAGTGCTTAAGACTGTATTAGTGTAACTAAATACTTTCTATAAATGCGTATGTAAACTATACGGATTGAAGATGACGAGTCTTCACTACGGTATTTCTTTAACATACCAGTTGATTTCTAAAATGAAGAGTGCTGTATGTACGGATAATGAAGTGGTAAGCGATCCAGCTATACCAGCACAAATTCTTTAACATTTAGTCTTAAAAACTCAAAATTAACTTTACTCACTATAATTTCCGTTTTGTTAAAAAAAACATATTTATAAAAAGCCTAATGGGGTATTATAACTCTAGCTATAACTTAATATCTAGCACAAATGTCTCACAGTTCAGTGGAGAGTACATGATGCGAAATAAGACCAAAGACAAAGAAGTAACCAAATGGATTGCACGACACAGTTAAGAGCGAAGGACAAAAGGCAGGATGAGACAGAAAACACTTTAAAATGTAATTAAAAAGCAGAAGCAAATTATAACATAAATTACCCTGAGCCATTCCAGTGTTTGCAATACGTGGCTCAACGACTTGAATAGTATCATCCTCTGGGTAAAATAAGATTTTACATTTTCTAATACGATATTGTTCTTCACGTCTTTCATTAACGGACTCTTGGAAGTAAGCATCAAAAGATAAGGCCTAGTCGTAAAAGATCAGGAAATAAAACTGTTTTTAGATGAAAACGTAGAAAAAGTAAATTAATAAAACGTACCGTAAACAAAAGCGATCGATATAAGTCGGAATTTTATCTAGGGCGTGATGGACAGCAAAATAATTCCCGATCATTTACTGTAACAGTAAGTTTCCATGATGGTCCCGGTTATTTGCAAGTAAATCCATAAGCTTTGTTCGATCCTCCAAATATTTTAAGAAATATGACACATACGTGATATCAAACATTAAATACTAAACATGAATGTTCAAATGGTTCCTAAATTCTATCAAATCAATACATTTGGTTGGATTTAACTCTGCACAATGTGTATTTACACATGATAGGTAAGGAGGTAAAAGTGACCATTACATTTATTTAATTATCCACTTACATTGAGTTAACAGTCATCATGACCTTGTTAGTCTAAAACACATTTAAATGTTATCACTTTCTACTTAACTCCTTGCAAAAATGTAGGAGATGAGTGCCATATTATTAGGATATCTGCTAAGGTTCACGTGTCCATGAGCACTGCCTGCTTAAGTTTAGGATGCTACAGATTATAAAGAGTTTCATTCCTAACTAGATATTTTAGCGTTTATGTTAACTGGGTACTTATAACACGTACTTACTCCAACATTTTTACATGCCCGAAACACACATGTCCAAGACGAGTCCAAACGTACTACAAATGGAAGTTACAATAGATGTAATAGGCAATATCCTACTGACTCCATGTCAAAATACACCAACTCTTGTATCTTATAAGGTATATAATTACATGTATTCCAGCCTCAACAGATTATAAGCACAAACGAGTATAAGGTCAATGTCAAATAAAACGTTTGTGCGTTCATTGCTGAGTGGAAGACCTAATTACTAGCACAAATATCCACCTAAAAAGTTGAAAACGTATCGTAACATCGTCATAATAGAAAGCTGTTTTAAAATTCTCTGTAACTAACAAACTTACGGTATGCAGAATAATTTCCTTAACATGAGTAATTGCTTAAAAATAGGATTGATTTCTATTATATCACAAACAAAACTGAGTCATAGTCCTGATCCTTAAACATGGCAAATTTTTTAGGCATGGAGTTTATTATTTACTCATAAAAGAAATAACGGATTTTAGAGACTAAAAATTGAACATAGAAATACTAAACAGTTCGAAACTTAGTGGGATTTTTTATGCCGTTTTTACCAGAAGTAAAATCACAATCTCCACAACCCTATACTCAAAAACATATATTGAATAATTTAAATGAAACCATGTGAATCATGAACACTAACTCAAAAAAGTCTATGTAGATAATTAACGAAGAAAACATACAACATTTGAGCCTAATATGAAAGAGATGAGCGAACAAGGAAAAAAGATCAATCATCAAAGCTCAAAACCAGGCAGACATACAGTTGATATGGAATTTGAATGTGTAAGTCGTAGTTTGATGATCATGGTAGTCAAAATATATGAGTAGCTTATTTGCTGCTCCACTTTCTAAGTTGATGAGGCCGTAAAATACGAAAACAAACCGAAGGATCACTCAGAAGAATAAAATAAAATATTATTTATTGCGCAATCCCAATATATCAGAAACAGGCCGGTGCAAACTGACCGTTTTTTCCTAGCAAAGTCTTAGTGTTAGAAAAGCAATTCTGGATCTTTGAATAATTAACTAATCAACAACTAGAATAGGATTTGTAGTGTCTGTCATTATGTTAAGCCCAAATACCTCATTATTCTAACTTTCGGACAGCTCATTCTATTCATTCTATTTGAGTCACATTCTGACCTTGTTAAATATTCGCTTATCAATGTCTTGACTGTCTGTATATGAGCGCGTAGGCGTATGTACACTTCTTATCCCGTTACTCATCACATGTCTGTAATTTATTTTTGTGGGCTTATAAATATTGATTAACTCTTTGTTAAGCGGGAGTTGGCTTACCAGCCATCTCCACCACGCGCCAACTTAGCTTCGCTTTCTCATCTTTGCATCGTTCCTCCGTTCGTTCTGTCTAATCAACAATTATACAAAATATATGCATTCAAAACTCCATTCTCGTTATTTGACTTATTTAATTCCGTTATTAACTAACGCGATTTAAGTCAATGATTATATACGAGGATAGGCGATAGCAATCATTTCACGATCGAATTGGAGTCAGATCACGGGCCACTAAAATGGTGAGCTCGCCACCACAAGCGAACACAGCAGGCTACTAAAGATTTATGTGGTGTACATTAAAGCAGTTTATGAACCTCACATAAGACTTTCGTAAATTAAAATAAACTCGATTGTATTAAATCACTCATAATTCCATAAACTTTTTTTTCAAAAAAGATCTATATTTCACCATGACCAAAAACATCAATGTATTAGGAGTGTTCAGAATTGTTAGTTTTGCAACAATTATTTATTGTTGATCGTCCAAATTTCGTTATAAGTATTTCAATATACTTTTGACTCACCAACATGTACCTACCTGTCTTGTTATGTATTTGATATAAGTATTATGGCATTTTTGTCTATTTCGTACCTGTTTATCAAAAGCCAGCCATACGGAGAGCTGACTACCCATTCCAGATGGATAGACGCTGGTTGGTACATCGATTCTTTGTCCTGGTAGCTTTTCTCCACCAATCCCTGGCTTGTCATCACCATGCATATAAGCTTCATCGCCTTCCAGTTTCAAATAATGTGATTTGTGGAACTTTTCTTTCCCAATCTAAAGAAATACATGAGAATAATGGACGTCTACATTTCCATTAAAACTATATCCAGGAAGAAACGGCAGTGCCATCGATAAAAAATAAAGATTAGCCGTTTCTATGTTTGCTTCTAGCTTCAAGGTGTCTTGTGTGCTTGGAAAGCGTCAGGAACAATAAGTGTAGTTATCTAAAAGAGATAAAGAAATAAAGAAAACGTGAGCCAAAGGTTAAGAAAACACAATAACATTGAACAAAGATATGCGACAATCAAAAATAATATAAGTTTAAGGCTGAGATATTCCTACGATCAAAGTAAGAGGTTTATGGTATGAGGCTTCGAACGCGTTACAAAGTATTTCAAAAAAACGCGTATTTAACTCTATGGTGCGCATCGTTTAAAACACTCACTATGAGGCCGACGAGAACAGGATAAAACAAAATATATTCGCAAATTATATGGCAAAGAACTGTAAATTCATGAAAATAATATGTTGTATATAGTGTACATAGTATTGATGAGCGAGGAAAGAAATACTCATTGCGCGTGTTTCAAAAAAGAACAGGTATTTCTTAAATGTAGTGAATAAACTCTGCTTTTGTGCATTCGTTGGGTCAAAAGAATATTTTTTCAACCTGAAATTAATTATTTCAGTTGAGGTCTAGAATTTTCTTGAAATCAGTCCGGTGGAGCTCTGTGTCCGGTAGATTATCACATTAGTATTCATTTCCCAATCAACCAATAAAGGGGAAATAAAGGCGGAAAAATGGGAAATGAAGGGGAAAATGCTGTGGTAACGAAAGGGGAAATCAAGGGGAAAACGCGCCAAAATGTCTCCTTTTTCGCCTGTCCGGGGGAAATAATGCGGATCTCCCCCTTTTTGTCGCCTTGTCGCTTAATTGCCTACTTTTCGCCTAAATATCAGCCAAATTGTCTACTTCTCGCCTAAATATCAGCCAAATTGTCTACTTTTCGCCTAAATATACGCTGAATCGTCTACTTTTCGCCTAAATATACGCTGAATCGTCTACTTTTCGCCGAAATACACGCGGAATCGCCTTTGTAATTACACAAAAGGTCTCCAAAATTCGCATTTATTTATACAACCAAGCACAGTGAAACTGCAATGTTTGGGAAAAGCGCTAAATATGCTTAAATATTTTTATTTCAAAGGAAAAGCGTTTTCTTGTACAAAATAATAGCGGAAGCTTGAGCATCAGTCGTTTAGCATTTCAATTGTAATTGCCGATTCGTCGTGCTTTGAAAAGATGTGCAACAGAAGAAACAGGTGATGTTTTATTTATAACACATGTGCACTTATCGCAAGTTCACTGACAATGAGTAAGAATTTAAGATCTCGAACGAAAAAATGTTTATTAAATATTAAGTACAACGCCAAACAAAATTGCACCGACTACATTCTTCAGCAACGTATGTTCGGCTATTGGCAGTGAATGCAGTCGTCCTGTGAATTCTGAATAGTAAAGAAAATAAAAAGTCAAAAGGACATATGAAAAACATGCTGAAGCATGTCCAAAGACACAGACAAATACTTTAAGGTAAACTTACGGTTAAGTTCGTTAAGACTGTTGTCTGCAAATATAAACAGTAGGGAAATTATCACTTTCAATTAGTAAATACCTGCTCTCGTTTACGTCGATTACGCTTCATCAACTTGTCTCTGACGTCATGGAAATAACCTTGCGTCGCGATGTCGTAAAGCTTCGCAAGGTCTTTTTCATTAACGGAGGATGACAAGAAGCGATTCATCAATGCACCTGAAGTTTAATTTATAAGTATAGATTACTTCGTATGCAGCCATAAAACCGGCATTTATGAAGTGCGCGCTTGGAAGAAGTGCCGAGCAATGTGAAATGACTGGCCACTTCAGGTGTCATGATGTACGACAAAACGTAACGCATTGACGTTTTAGGGTCATCACCCATTAACCTAGTCAGCATCGCCATCTGCTATACGAAGATGTTAGTAAATTAATGTTGTCGACTTACAAACCTGTCCCTCGTTTCCTTCTGCTGCAACCCAGTGTCCAGCATCTGCAGTTCCTCTTCCGATGACAAAGGGAACTGCTGACTTGATACTCCGCAATCGAATTGATGGGGATGATCGCGTTCGCTAAACTTCGCTAGTAGTAGCTTCACATTAGTACTCAAGTCAGTCATCGCTGAAGACATGTTTTGCATTGTCTTACTCAAATCAGTAATAGCTGACGACATGTTCTTCAAGGTTGTGTGCAACCTATCAAATCTTAAAAACTTCAATTGATGGTACTGTTGACTTACTGGACCGCAGATGCAGAGTCTATATGCATAGATTCTATTGTTGATGGTGATGTATCTATTTGTGTAGAACTACTTCATTAACATGTACATATTAATGAAACGTACTTGGCAATTTGCGAGACAAATTTGTAAACAACCGAAAGTTTGGATAATGCACGTGGCTATTTCCAGCCTGCATCTCCGCCACATCCATGTCGACTGAATTGTAAAGAAATCCTTCTTTACGCTTTAATGGACTTCTAAGAAATGTTAGTAATAATATTGTACAGACCTCTTCGGGTTTTCCGTGTTTAAGGGCAATGTGTTCTCCTCCGTTGATGTGTTTTTGCGATGCTGCTCCAGTATTTGTAGGGACAGTAACATGTACTTGGCAGACTGCAGAGAATCTAAAGTAGATTATAGTGTAAATGTATTTTACTCACCAATTTTCTGAATTACTTTGCATCTCAGAAGTGACCAGCTGTCATCTGGTTTATCGCAGTTTCGGAGGTGTATGTCCACCAGCTCCGTTGGAAAAAGGAAAAGGTCTTTGCCAAAAATCCAATGCTTGGCTGCAATCATAAGTTGTTGTTTGCTAGGAACCTCAGCGATGATGTATTGTTTGTTAGCGGGCTAAATATTAAATAATCGTTAATGAAATTGTTTACGGCGATTAATGAAGCACAAATACAACGAAATACATTCACAGTACGGTATGTAACAATGAAACTATCACAAAATTATTGATGCAATTAATGGTTATACATTTACAGTCAATGTCCTTAAGGGATATCAATGTGTGTTCATGACTAACTACGGAGCACATAAATATTCCTATATCGCTGGACGGGAACGGATCTGTCATCCGTTCTTAAAGTATATTCACCATTTGGAAATGTCATTCTTCCCTCAAGCCGTCTACCAAGTACAGTACACCGATCGCAACCTGCCTTACCATTGTGATTAACTGTGTACTTAATTGCAGAACGAGCAGGTGCGTCACATATTACACTGGACAACTTAATAGTTATGTATTTATTAAACTTAGTACTAAACAGACCCACGTCAGTAATTTCTTTTATTTCAGAAATTGTGTCAGCAGATAATTCGTAGAATTCTGCCGGTTTACTACACACCCCATAATAATGGGGTGTGTAGTTTTTAAAATCCTACTGTATAAAACGGTTGCTAGAAGTCTAACTCCCATTGACTTTACATATCGTGCTGATCGAGCAAAGCGTTATGAATTGAAAAGAAAGTTAGCCTCAGGCGTTGCCCGGCAAGAAATTTGGTGAGATTTCGTCTAGTATCTTGAGTACTGAACACGAATAACATATTACTGTGACAAGTGATGTTACAGCAAAAGCTGGAGGCTGGAATGAGAAACATCAAAAAAGAAATGACTTTTAGACAAATCAAAAGTGAAATACCACTGGACACTAGCGATAGTCATTATAAAGTTTTCCCTGCAGACCCAAATAAATCTATTTCCATTCAAATTAATCTCAAAGTGGATGTCTCGACTACCAGGAAATGGATGACTGAGAGGAAAAATGAATAAGAAAAATCTTCAGTGGACCTACATTCTCGGTCACAAAATGCTCATGGATTTTGGGAAGCAGTGAGAAGAAACACTGAATGGTTTTTGTACATAAAATTAATTCTATTATTTTATCTTCAGCACAAGATACTTCTGCTGCTACTTATTGAAGTTTGATGGCAAATCATGGAGAACATGTGGTGATCGGGCAACTCCCATCTGTTGAGAGATATCCGTCCATCAATTAAGGAACGAGTATACTGCGCGGCAGTTTGTTCCGTTCTACTATACGGCAGCGGAATGTGGCCACCATTAAGACTAGAAAATGCTCGTCAGCTACTAGTATTTGACCGCAGATGCCTTAAAAATATTGCTAGTATCTGCTGGGATCACCGGGTAAGTAATAGTGAGGTTAGACAGGGTATTAGGGAATGATGGTAAATCAGTTGATGAGGTTATGAATCTTCATCGACTGAGATGGTTGGGCCACGTGTTGCGTATTCCTGAACACCGATTACCACGACGCGTAATGCTGACCAGTGCAGGAGACGGTTGGAAGAAAGTTAGGGGCGTCCAAACCCTGATCCTACGTTGCAGCCAACTGACTGAATCCCTTTTGTTGAAGCAAACATGCACCACAGCAGAAGCTAAAAATATTCTCAATCGACTTGATGGATTTAGGGTATTATCGATCGTTGATTTAAAGATGCTTATCAGCAAATTACCTCCTATCAGTCTCTATCCATTTTCACAACGATTAATACTCATGTAGTGCTGCCTTCTATTTGACTCAAGTTGTTCTCTAGCCATGTATCAAGAAGTGGTGTATAACGTAGTTTCTGGTCTTAAAGATGTTAAGGTTTATCAAGATGATATTTAATAATCATTTTCTTGATAAAGCAGCTCATGACCGAGAGCTTATTGCCTTACTGTACCATCTCACTGGAATGCCGATACAAGTCTCAATAACTGTCCATTTTTTGTACCTAGTTTTAAGTGTTTTGGATATCTAGTTAGTGGTAAAGGTTTAATATCATATATGCAATGAATATCTTTGTGTACGGATGCACCGTCTCCGTAAAGTTCTACGTAGTTACATCTGCTACCGAGCGGCTTTTAGTGATGTTCCGTTTTATTCCCAATTTCGTCTTTCCAACGGTCTATTTCAGATCTTGACATCCATCTCATTTAAATAGAGTGAGGTACATGAGTCCTGTTTATTCAGTTTATCAAGGTGATACCATTCTTAGAATTCGCTCTCTCAGAGTACTCTCAGCATCACCTGTAGGTATTGGTGCAGTTTTGGAGTACGAAATTAAATTGGTAACTTGTGTTACATTTAAACTCTCTGTTGCTGAACAAGGTTTCCGCGAACCTAGAGGAACGTATGAGCTGTGTTTTGTGCTGTTAGGTGACTTCTGAAAGATTTATCTTGGAAAAAATTCACGGTTGTCGCAGATCATGGAAGTCTAAAGTTTAATTGAAATAACCCATAGTGTCATTGAATAAGAGGAAGAGAATTCAGTGAAGAAAATTTTCTTTCCGACGGATTCATTTACTTAA